TAAATAAATAAATAAATAAATAAATAAATAAATAAATAAATAAATAAATAAATAAAAAAAACAAAAATAAAACAGAAAACCAAAACAACTGTTTAGTCTGAGTGAAAATTCATACTTACAGAAAAGATGTAGTAGTGTGGGAGAATTTACCATACATTCTCCCTTTTCTTTTAAAGAATTATTTAATTTTTATTTATCATTATCTTTTTATTTTGCTACAGGGCATGTGCACTCACCAGAGACAGAGAGAGTGGGAAAGTGAGAAATCAAGCCAGAGTCTGGGATTTGTACCATGGTCAGCCATCTGAGTCCAGGATCCTAACCAACACACCACCTGTTGGTTCAACATTCTTTACCTAGATTCACCCATCATGAGCATTTTGTCACATTTGTTTTCTTTCTCTTCTTATATACACATATAAAATTTTAATAGCCTACATTAATATTCATGAAGTATATTGACATAATAAACAAATATTGATTATTTAAAATGTATGATAAAGTTTTAATTTTATATACACACACATTTTTTTTGGACAGATTTTTTTTTTCGTATAGAGCATGTGTACTCGTCAGAAAGACAGAGAGAGACAGAGAGACATAAAGCGAGAAATCACCCCCGCAATCCCTTCTCTTCCATTCTCCTCTTGGGATCTTGGGCACACATGCATATGGCCTGGCATGAATTTAAGCCATGGGGTCCGGGATTCGAACTGCGGTCAACTACATGGGAGTCTAGCAATGTAGCCATTATGCCACCTGCTGGTCCAAAGTTTTTATTTATTTTATGGAAGAAAAAGAGAGACACAGCAATCCCTGACAGAGTCTAGCCATACCATAATTCTCTCTCCAGCCTACTAGCCAGCCAGGATTGTGGGTACAACTTGCATGTTCAGGTTGACTCAGAACCAAACCCAAGGTCTTCACATATGGCTCTGGTACTGGTATCAGGCACTGGGGCTCTTATTGCCTGTACTACCATGGCTGGGCCTGTCTATACGTATTCTTCTTTAAGCAAACTTTTTTGCTATTTGTTTTACATTTCCTTTTTCCTCCATGAGAGGGAGGGAGACAGAGACAGGCATCCTTGGCAAGGTCTCACTGTGGGGTGACCCTCCTCTTCTGCCCAGGCAGACAGGACCATGATGCGTGCACAACCCACCCTGTGTACCCAGACTGACCCTGGAACCGAACCAAGCCGCACAGTAGCCGCCAGTTTCCCGAGCAGCTATGTTACCTGTACACCACTGCAGCTGGATACATTTAATTCTTCTCAAGAGCAACACAACAGTATTAGCGTACCTGGTATGAATGTATTATTTGTGCTGAATAATTAACTGAAAAGGTCATGACTTGTTAGCACTAAATCCTTCATCATTTATCTAACAAGATATTCTTTGTTTTAATTTGTTAGAGCGCACATGTGCTCACCAGAGAGAGAACGTGAGAAAGTACCCCTCCTTGAGGAATGGTCACACATCATCCCTCCTCCCCCACCTCTTCTCCCTTTCAGGATTCTGGGCATGCATGCACATTCACACGCTGTTTTTTTTTTTTTTTCTCTTTTTTTAAAGGTTTTGGTGATGGGGTGTGTGCACTCACCACAGAGAAATAGAGACAGTGAGAGAGAAAGTGAGAAATCATCCCCCAGTGGGGATGGCCATAACACAGTCCCTTCTTCAACTTCCTTGGAGGATTTTGGGCATATACATACATGCATCTAGAGTGATTTTTTAAAAAAATAATTATTTATTTAATTCTATTTATTCATTCATTTATTTTCATTTAATCTGAGAAAGACAGAAACACAGAGAGAAGTGAGAAAGCAAGCCACCAGTCCGGGACTCGAACCATGCTTTGTCATGATGGAGTGTCCAGCGCCTTAACTACCACATCACCTGCTGGCCTGTCCAGCGTGATTTTCAAGCCTGGGACTTGAATGGTGGTCAGCCATGTGAGAGTTCAGTGCCTTAACCACCACCTCACCACCTGTTGGCCTCAGCTATTAAGTCTCTTAGTGTCTCTTAATCTGGAGCAGTTTTTCAGCCATTTTTGACTGGTCCTGCATGCTGCTGATTTCAAGCAGACAGGTCTGGGACTCAAACTACACAGCCAGCCACATGGCATCCAGCTCAACTACTAGGCCACACATTGGCTTGATATTCTTATATAATTATTGCACAATACAATAAAAATCAGTGAATTTAACATCATTATAATGTTATTATCTAATATATACGCTATATTCAAATTCTGACTATCTCAACATTGTCTCTTATAAAATCTCTCTTCATCTCCCATTCCAAAGCCATCTATTCCAAAGCCAGGATCATGCATGGCATTTAGCTTTTAAATCTATTTTTTAGAATTAATCTTATTATTATTTTTTAATCATTTATTTAGTTTTATTTATTCATTCATTTATTTTAATTTGACCAGAGGGGGGGAGGGGGAGAGAGGGGGAGAGGGAGAGAGGGAGGGAGACAGAGAGAGAGAGAGAGAGAGAGAGAGAAAATGAGAAAACAAGCCACCAGGTCTGGGACAAACCGTGGATGGCCATGTGGGAATGGCCAGCACCTTAACTACCACACCACCTGCTGGTCCTCAATTATCATTACTGTTTAGAGAGACTTTTTAAAAAGATTTTATTTATTCATTCATTCATTTTAATTTGACCAGAGACAGACAGACAGACAGACAGACACACACACACACACACAGAGAAAGAGAAAAAGAAAGCCAATAGGTCCAGGACTTAAAAACCATGGTCAGCCACGTGGGAATGTCCAAGTGCCCTAACTACCATGTTACATGCTGGTTCTCCATAGAGAGACTTTTGCTATAGGGTGCGTGTACTCACCAGAGAGACAGAGACAGAGAGAAAGAACGTGAGAAATCATCCCCCAGCAGGGATGGCCATGCCTCAACTCCTTCTCCTCCATTCTCCTCCATGGATCTTGGGCACGTATACACATACACACGCCCAGTGTGATGTTTCAGCCACTGGATCTGGGACTTGAACCACAATCGACCATGTGGGAGTCCAGTGATGTAATCATTATGCTATCTGCTGGTCTCTATTATTATTATTTTTAAATTCACTACACAGAGACACAGAGAGAGAGGGAAAGTGAAAAAGCAATCTGCCAGGTCTGGGACTCAAACTGTGGTTGGGCAGTCCAGTGC